CTCACCTCAGCCTCCCAAAGGCGTGGGATTACAGGCTGAGCCACCGAGCCCAGCTTCACACCCAGTTTCTAGTCACAACCCACAGCTTCCTATTCGGCTTCCAGATGGTTCCCTCGGCCCTGTTGCTCCAGCTTAGTGCCACATTCTGGCCCAGCTGCCTGATGTCCCCAAGCCTCGGTTTCTTGGCCCTCGCGGACGCCGTCCCTCCCGCGGCCCCGCTCACTTGTCGCTGTCCATGATGGTGTGCAGCCTGTGGGCGATGGTGATGACCGTGCAGTGGCAGAACTCCCTGCGGATGGTGGTCTGGATGAGGTGGTCGGTCTCCAGGTCCACCGCGGCCGTGGCCTCGTCCAGGACCAGGATCTTGGACTTCCGGAGCAGGGCCCGGCCCAGACACAGCAGCTGCCGCTGGCCAATGCTGCGGCCGGAGGGAGACACCGTGCGTTAGCGCCCAAGGACCCAGAAGACCTGGGTGGGGCTGGCCATGCTTTCACGGGCCGGCCACACTTTCAAAACCCCCACTGCAGTGTTCCCCTAGGAGGCTCCGGTTTCTTCAACCAGCCATTCCCCAAGAAGACCCACCCCAGGTCCTTAGTTAGACATTAACAATCTTATGGCCTTGATCAAGTTGTTAAAAACAAAACAAAATTTTTTTTGAGGAGTCTTGCTCTGTTGCCCAGGCTGGAGGGCAGGGGCACTCTCACAGCCACCGCAGCCTCCACCTGCTGGGCTCAGGCAATCCTCCCACCGCAGGATCCTGAGTAACTGCAACCACAGACACACATCACTACGCCCAGCAAATTTATTTTTGATTTATTGCAGAGACGGGGTCTCGCTAAGTTGCCCAGGTTGGTCTCAAACCCTGGGCTCAGGCAATTCTCTTGCCTAGGCCTCCCAAAGTGCTGGGATGGTAGATGTGAGCCACCACGCTGGTCTCTGTAATCTCAATTTTTTTTTTTTTTTTGAGTTGGAGTCTCACTCTGTCGCCCAGACTGGAGTGCA